TAACAGGCTTCCTTATATGTAATTAGAGTAAAATATAAGAAATTTAAACATCTGGTCTATTCCTCCTTGTTAAAATCTTGTTGAATGCTTTAAGCAGTTGTGAATCAAGAACAGTCAGAAAACAAGCCAATGTGTCAAATGGACTGACTTTATATTAGATTCGGTCCTGATAAAACTAAACAGCATAATGCTGCCCTGACATCATCATTACACTGGCATATTCACAATTTATTATTGTGGTTTTTTTAAAATAAATTCTTTTAATGCCTTTAAAAAAATATTTACAATAATTGCTCTAATTGCAGCAAGAACTGACAGTCGGTCATCTGAAGAGTTCAGAAAGTACAGAAAGACTTCACTGAATCAACACACAGTTGTCTCACTATATGCTTTCCTTCTCCTTAACAGGAGTTACTGCTGACTTCATGGTAATAGTTCTGCAAAAATCAAGAAGCAGCAGAATACAGAGACATCTATGAACATAAACCATATGATGGCTATTATACAACTATCAGCTATTCCAAAGAGAGGGCCATTGTTTTTAACCAAACACGTGATTCAATTCCAGAAAGGTCATCAAAAACAGTTGAAGATTTTACACACAAAATGCATAACCTTATATTTCCTTTCATAGGCCTACTTCTTAAAAAGTGTCCTTCTTTCCATGGCTGCACATACTTTTTTCTCTATTACACAGGCTTTAAAAATAGTCAACATCATTCAACTGTGAAGCTGTGGCTTCAGTGAATGTCTACAACACTACTTTGAGAGAAACCTACAACAGAGACATTGCCTAACCTAAACACTTGAGCTTTTCATCAGTGTGTACTTATTTACTTTAAAGATAATCTTTCCAGTTCATCTTCTCAGCATGAAGCTCCTTGTCACTATGCCAAAGGCATATTTATATGTTTTCTTCTATCACGTCCTAAACAGGCTTTAAATATGGGCAGATTTTTCCTGTTTAAAGCCTTCTCTGGCTATAACATCATTACATGCAATAATCGAATCATTTATAGCTTAGTTACTGACATTTTAAAAGTTACACATTCTTTGTTCAATTCTCTCTCTCATGACACACACTTCAAATATAGAATTATAAAATTCTTAGGTGTTTATCTATTGACTGCTGCCTTCAAACAAACATCACAGCATCAAGTAAAGGAGAACTCTATGTCACCATCATGTGTCTCATGAAATGTGACTAGAGATGGCAGATTAATTAATTCTCTTGAAATTGATCTAAGATCAACAGAAATGTAAGTATTTCTTTGATAACCTTGTGATAAGATCAGAAGGTGAAGCACCTCTCTCAACTGCTGGCAACCAGCTCTGGTGTGAAAGGGTCACTGCTTCCAGAATCAGTCAGGTGTGGATACAAGTTAGCTGCTTTACTGGGGCAAAGCCGCCAAGTTCATAAAACTCGAAGATCAGCAGCAACTCAGTGCAAAGACAAGTGAAGCATGTCAGCAGCAAGTTGCTGGAACAAAGATTATGACTTAGAAGTGAAGTCTCAGAAATGTACAGTGTTCAAACTCAGTAAAAAAAAAAGACAACTGACAATGAGGAAGACAGTGAGAAAACAGAAAAGTTAAACCATACTTGAGATGTATGGGGCAAAAAAAGGAACGGCAGCACAATATACACAAAACTATCTATGCAGATAAAGTCATAGTTTTTGCAAATTCAAGAGCTTAAGAAAATGGAGAAGCAACTTAGAAAGAAAACCTACTGTTCAACAGATCATCAAGCACCAAGGCCATGTAGGAGCAAGAGCACACACAAGGCAAGGAGACCCCGTTATCTCAAAGCAGGGCATGGAAAATAAAACCAAAGGACCCCAAACCACCAACACAACAGAGAGCTTCTACGCACACCGAAAATTCACCGAAACTCTTACTCCCGGTCAGGGCCTGGTGCCTACAAACCTCGCCCTTCGGCACACACAGCAAACCTTCGCCTTCGCTTTGCCTCCCCGTTTCTCCCGCTTACTGACAAGGGGACGGGCGTGCAGGCAGACAGCTGGCAAGGGCTGGGGGGTGAAGGTGCGTGCGCAGACCGGGGCAGGGGGAGAGCGGGAAACACGGCGGCACCTAATGGCGCCAACACTGGTGCGGGCGTGAGGCAGGGAAGCTCCAGCGACCCCGCCCGGCACGGCGCCGCTCAGAGCTCCTGCGACCCCCGCGGGGAGGGGGCGCCAGCCCGCGCTCCGCAACCCGGCAGCTGTTAGCGGGGCGGGGAGGAGGTCCCCGCCGGGCGGTACCTGCGCCGTCAGTCCCTGCTCTTCGTCCTCCTGCCCGGTCAGCACTCGCCGCAGCTTCTCCATCCCGTCGCTCGGGCAGGACCGGACCGGGCCGCACTGCACCGGAGGGGACGGAACGGGACGGCTTTGCAACCCCTACAGGGCCGCTGGCCCAACCGGAAGTGACGGGCCTCCACAGGCTTCGCCCCCTGGCGGGCGCGGCACCGCATGGCGCTCGGTTTCCGGCGGGGCTGTGAGGAGGGAGGCTGCGGTCGCTTTTGTGGGCAGCCCCTGTAGGGTGTCGCCGCCACCGCGCCGCTTCAGGGAGGCGGGGACGAGATGGGCGCCTGTGCCGGCCTCGCCGGAGGCGCTGGGAGTTAAAAAAAAAATAAAAAAAATAAGCCAGGTGGTTTTCCAGCTAACAGCGGGTGGGACCGAGGGAAATGGGATCAGCCGTAAAGGCCTTCTTCCATGGGTAAATGTAGCGCTTATATTAATGCAGAGATTTCCACTATGTCTCTGTGTTGTCTGTTAACCTCTGCCTCAGGTAGGAGTATGGTGGAGGCCATCGCACTGTGCTGTGTCTTGGCTGCTTTGCCTGCTTGTCCCAGCAGCACTCCAGCCACCATCCGCACTGGACAAGCATGGTCACTCCACATGAGTCTTCCCTCTCCTGCTCTGTTTAGACATTGACCCCCTTTTGTAGCCGTTCCTGCCTTTTGGCATGTGGCTTTGCTGTGTGACTGGTCCTCAAACAAGCACCATGGCTCTGCCCTGGGTGGTCTGGATGGGGGGAACAAGGCTGGAGGAAAAGGAGCCAGCAATGGTGGGGTGTGCCTTGCCTGCTGCTTGGCCCCAAGGTGACAGCAGGCAGCAGCGTGGAGTGGGGTGGGAGAAGAAGATGAGTGGTAAGCTGTGGAACTTGCTGCTGTGCGAGTGAAACCTTATGAGAGCCAGGGCAGCAGAGACCTCAGTGAGGCCCTTCAGGACAGAAATCTTCCTCTCCCTCTCTCCCCTCTATGAGAAGAGAGCTCCCACCCTGTTCCCCTCCCCACGCACAGTTCTCTTATGAAGAGTTTCCCATGTGGCTTGTATACTGGGTGAAACACTTGGACACAGACTGTACTTTTCCGCCTGATGACAAGCCATCAGCATCTCAGGAAGCTTTTAAGTCAAGGCCAAAATTCTGAATGGGAGATACATCTGCAGACATGGCTGTGTGAAAACAGTCAAACACCACCCCTGAGTCAGCCAGCATGGCCCTTATCCTGCAAGGACCTGAGCAGGAGAGAGAGTGTATATAAGGGAACAACATGACCATGACCCCTGTGAACAGGGGATGAGAAATGCAATGGAGACAAGTGCAAAAATCATCTTCCCAATACCTGGCAGGCCCAGTGTCTCCGTGCCCACAGCGGCCAGGAGGAAGGAAGAGGCCCAGCTGGTCATGGCGTCCTGTCTCGAGCTTGCTGCCACCTGCTTGGCTTGGGTGCCTTAGGTGCTCTGTAGTTGCCAAGGGCAGGATGTGGTGAGCGGAGGTCCTTGGTGACCTTCTCTTCTGTAGTTGGCTCAAAGGTGTCAAAATGGGAGTGTCATTTGGTGCTTTGCTGTTCCTATGCTCTAACCCGCTACCCCAGACCAAGGACTGCTTCCTGGAGGATCCTGCCAGTGACTACATTGATGGGGTTCCTCCTCTCCCCTTCTGCCTCCCCAGGGCCTCCCTTCATTAGAGGACCCTGTGGAAGAGAGAAAAGCATGCCTACCATTACTTTACCCGTTCTCCTGTTCCACAGAAATGCTGGTGGCTCGTGCTTCCATTGGAAATGGTGGCATGACAGAAAATGTATCAGCGCTTGGCAGTCTCCTCCCTACCTCCTTCCAAGCTTCCCACTAAAACCAAAACTGTGCAAGCCATTTTGTAGCTCCATAGCCTTCCCACAAAGCCCCAACCCTAGTGACTGTTCACTTGACTGCTGAAAATGCCATGTTTGATCTTCAAGGCACTGGTGCATGGCCAGGGGAACCTCAGCAGCAGGACCCCCCTCCCCTCCCACTCACCGAAGCAGCTGATGGAGAGCTATCATCATGCGCTTTTTCATATGTGTGCAGGGAAGACAAGGCGCAGGAAAGTGTGTCATCCTGAATGATACGTGTGCAACACCATTCCTGCATCATCAGCCCTAACCCACTGCGTCTGGGGAGGAGAAAGGACTGTGCAGCAGAAGCTCCATGTGGAGGCCGTGGAAGCCTGTGCATAAGATGTGCAGTTAACCAGAAAGGCAGTACCTTTTTGTTCAAGTTGGATGCTGAAGTGCTAATACCAGGAATTACTGAGGCAGGCTGTGGTGGAGAACAGGCCAGAGAGGTGTCACTAGCTGTGCCTTTACAAAAGTCTTCTGCAAAGTCCAATCATGGGGGTCTGACATGATGCCAGAGAGCATGTTCTCCTCTGGACTTGCCTTCTTGGTAATCCCAGGACTCAGAGATGTCCAAGCAGGTATTAGGTCCCACCTGATGACCTATTGAAGATCTTCGTAACAGGGCACATCTCCTGTACTATCTCCAACGAGCAGTTGCTGGGTTTTCAAAATCACAGCCGTCTTCTTCAAGACAGCTTAACTTTCATTTCCTTTGTTACATTTAACTAGATGCAGCCTCCAAAAAGTAAGCTTAAGATTTAGAGCAATTTTCTGGATTGCTACTGTCTATAGAGAGATAGTAGCACTTTTGGGGGCAGTTCTCACTTAAGGAAGTTATTTTAGTAAGGGAGAGATTGCCGTCTGCTCTCTGGTGACTGTAAAGGAAGTATGGATGACTAGGTCAGACCAGACATCTAAGTTTCAGTCTGATGAATTAGGGTAATGAACCTCACCATTACCTTTTTTTAATTCAAATATAGGCACGAACAGCCTTTATATATGATTTCTATTTATTTTAACAAAAAGCTATGTATAGTAAGCATAATAGCACTGTGACAAAAACAGAGCAAGGAAGCAAAAGCTGGCAAATGCATCCCCTTTCTTATGCCTCGGTTCAGGTAACCCATTGCTTCTAATTTGTTTGACACTTCCTGCCCATCACTCAGAGTCACAGGGTCATCCAACAGAGCACACACTTGGTGGCTTCAATACAGCTTCACGGTAATTGCTTCTGCTGTGACTCAAACTTTTCCAGATCCAGCCATCACTTCTTTAGCATCAGAAACTGATCTCACTAGTGGGTCTCTGATGTAGAGAGCTGATGCATACAAAAACCAACTGCAGGCATAAGAGCTGCTTCCCAGAGTGCTTGGTAGGCACCTAGGAGCTAGGTGTATTTGTGGCTTACAGGAACACTATGAGCTGCTGCAAAGATTTGGAGGGAAAGGTAATAGCCTTTATTGGCTCATCATGGCTAATACAACAAATGCAAGGAAGGAAGAAACACACAGACCTGTGAGCTCATCTCTTTCTGCAGTATCAGGCACTCAAATCAGGTACCACAGAGGCTTGGTTAACTGATACACTATTGGGTACCTTGCCAAATCTTTGAACCCTTGCACCCTTTTCCTGTTCCTAACAATAATCTGGCTGAGTGCTGATGCTGATGTTTACCAGTTTGCAGTATAAGAAACACAGAGTACTGAAGAGGTTACTGATCACACTGCTGGCTTTGTGCTTTGCTCCCAGGTGACCCATAACATCAAGTGTATACAAAAGTACCTTGTAATTATTGCTTCACATGGCTTCTCCATGGACAAATACAGGAATTGTTTTAGGATTTGTCGTGGGTTAACCCCAGCTGGCAACTAAGCACCACACAGCCACTCACTCAGTCCTCACCAGCAGGATGGGGAAGAGAACTGGAAGGGTAAAAGGGAGAAAATTCATGAGTTGAGATAAAGGCAGTTTAATAGGTAAAGCAAAAGCTGTGCGCTCAAGCAAAGCAAAACAAGGAATCCATTTACTACTTCCCACCAGCAGGCAGGTGTTCACCCATCTCCAGGAAAGCAGAGCTCCATCACGCCTAATGTTTACTTGAGAAGACAAACACCATAACTCCAAACATCCACCCCCTTTCTTTTTCTTCCCCCAGCTTTTATTGCTAAGCACAACATTGTACTGTGTGGGATATCCCTTTAGTCAGTTGGGGTCAGCTGTTCTGGCTGTGACCCTTCCAACTTCTTGCACACCCCCAGCCCACTCACTGATGGGGTGGGGTGAGAAGCAGAAAAGGCCTTGACTCTGTGTAAGCACCACTCAGCAATAACAAAAACATCCCTGTGTTATCAACACTGTTTTCAGCACAGTTCCAAAACATAGCCCCTATCAGCTACTGTGAAGAAAATTGACTCCATCCCAGCAAAACCAGTACAGGACTTTAAGTGATCCCAGGGGCAAGGAGAGATGGTCTATCCAAATGTGTATGAGTGGAATGTTTGAGACAATTTTGCTACTCCCTTGGCATTGCTGCAAGTTAAAATCTGGAGATCTTTCTGTGTTAAAGCCATGATCTCAGGCCTAAGCAGAGTGACAGGTTATTGATATCTTCTCCTGCCAGGAGACAGCTTTAAGATTTCACACCACCATATGTCCTCTTCAAAACATGAGAGAGGCTGCTAGTCTCATTTACATCACCCAATACCACTCTGAGAAGGCATCCCTTCAGTTAATACATTCCCTAGGACAAGCATGACATAAGACTACTCCAACCAGCCTATATGTCAACACCAATTAAAGCAAGTTACAGCATGTTTCTCCCCTGGGTAACCTATGGGTTAAATGCTTTCAAAATGATTAAATACTTTCAAAACTATAAGTGACTTGCTTTGTACCTTTACATATTTTTACACAGTGCACCCAATACAGCCATCATGTAAGTACTTGCAAGTGCTGTCATAATTGGTGCTGCTTTCTCTTGCACCAAGGGCTGAGTTTGGGCCAGTTATCCCCACACAATAGTTTCATTTAATGAGAAAGACATGACCCAGTTTTCAGATTAAATAAATAAGCTGAAAATTCCCAAGATTGTTGCCATAGTTACTTGAAACCTACTGTTAAAAAAGGTAAGAAGGAAGAGAGCGAGAGGGAGAAAAAGTAGGAAAGGAGAGCAATATCACGGTCAGGGTTAGGCC